CACTGCGAAAGCAGCAGCCTGTGAGTATCACGTATCACGTTTCAAGCATTATCCGCAACTTTACTGAACTCAGCGCCACGATCAACATGCGCCCTTGCCGGGGTTCTCTCTCTCCTCCACGACGCTAACTGTGTTCACAATGCCGATCTTGTCCACTGCACCATCGCATTTACGGAAGCTGCGTCCATCCCAGCAGCAAACGCGTCCACGGGCCCCACCTCGCCCTCAACGTCGGCCCCATCAACCGCTACCTCTGGCGCCAAACGCCAAGCAGGCGACACGCCTTTGCTGGGCTCGGAGCCCTTCGCCAAGCCGAAGGTGGCCACGAGGTCGCTATCTATCGAAGGTGCAGGCGAGATGGCGCCATCTTCCACACAGGATATCACGAAGGCTTCTGCAGGGCGATGCGCCCACGGGCGGCATCACATCTCCAACTGACGGTGAGCTAACGTCAACGCAATTGTCTCCTCAGCAGAGACTGATCTTTCCGCTTCTCGCTTCCACCAATGCTAATACATCAAAGATTCAGCTTGAGACCACGAGGTACGGGTCAATTGGATCTACCTTCACCGAAAAGCCCTTACGCTGCGTAGCGACTCCAAGTCTCCCTAGTTTGTTTCCCCGTCGTCCTCAACATGCGAGTATGAGACAAATATGACCTCTGTTGAGCGAACATCACCTTGTGTCTAACTGCGACCATTGACGTTGGCGGAAAAGCCTCTCTTGACGGTATTTTGGCTCCCTCTGGGTGCGTGGCTGAGGATCCTTTGGAGAAGGGGAGGTCAAGTGCACTCCCCAACTACTGCCAACGGCCGATCCTAAGGTGATCCTCCCAGGAGCTGAGAAGTTGCTTGACAATAGGTCCTCAGAATGGATCAAAGCAGCTGGTGTGACCTCTGGAGTCTCGCGCTGAATGTGATTCTGCACAGAGATTGCCAGACAAGATGTCAGCGCACCATCGTGACAAGGAGCTCGACCGAGTAAGGAATGGACAGAGAAATGAGGGAATTACTCACAGGAATGCGCCAACGCAAATGAGCAAGGTAGTCCTGCTTCTTGTCGTAAGTTTGAGGCTGCATCGTGAAGATCGAGAAAGCGCAACGGCGCGCAGCTTGCTCCAGACGCGCGATCTGTCAGAGCTCAGCGGTAGTCAGAAAGATTGCCTGCCCAAAGGCTCGAGACCCAAACGCGCTGGACTGCTAGAAGAAGCTAGTACTGACCTCGCGATCAAGCTCCTCCATGGTCAGCGGCTCCATGCTGACGCCAGTACTGACGCTGTATGCGCTTGCTCCGTCCATAGCGCAGATCTGGCTCTTCAGCATCGAATGTGTACAGGCTTGGAAGGGTCGAGTCAAATCTTTCGAGAATTTGAGATGTACAGGCTTCGAAGTGCCGAGCTGTACCTTGAAGACGGAGTGCATGATCACCAGAGTTGGGAAGCACAAATTGTGACAGCTTTGTAGAGCAAGCACAGAAGATGCGGCTGGGTGCGATACAACCATCACCAAGCACAAGCAGGAGCCCACTCTAGAAACAGCGCAAGGGCCACCAGTCGCGAGTGCAGGCCAAGCGCAGGCACCACTGGCAGCGAAACGCTCGACTGGCTCAGATAAAGCTGCTGGGGCGCTCTCAACTCATGACTGACCCTCCATCACTGCACCCTCATGCTTCCCAACTCCTCAACTCACACCTCACAACTCCCGCTTAAGCACTCGCAACCTCTATCCAGTCA